GTTTTCCACCGTGGAGCACGCCAGCTCTTGAGTGACTAGCACCATCCACTCCTCCGGCCAGGTGCTTCTAAGATTGTCTAATAGGGAACGAAATTTCCAGACGGATAGTATGAGCGTTCGCAACCGAGCAGCCCGGGACGCGGGTTACTATTGTTTATTTGTGTTTCGACCAGGTACTTTGTACTACGTGATAACCAGCATTTGACTAGGGCACCTTTGTCTGTGAGGATGAAGGCAACGATGTCTCTTAAAATGGCTGCTGAGACGTCTCAGGCGTTTGTTAAATTCTACTGAGTGGTTTTTTTTAAGTCGGCGGCTGACTCGAGTTAGCTTAGGCCGCCTACGGGATTGCATTTCATTCCCTGAGTAAGAGTTCAGATTTGGGGGGAGGTGTTGGAAGGCGGATGGTAATTAAGACTACCAGTTTTGGTGACACACGCGACACCAGAGACCCTCACCTTGTTTAGCCTGCCGGTTAAGATGATTAACAGACTGCGGGTGCTGGGCGGAGCCTAGTATCGAGGAGTCACAGAGGAGAATTGGGTGTAAGTTAAGGGTTGACACGGGAACACATAATGTTGTCTACGCGTTGCCCCCCACACTATCACCCTAACAACCCGCCCTAATCCCACAATTACACCCGACGGTTCGGCAGTCGTAGTCAGATGAAGTCCACTGTGTGCTCCACAGGCTGATGACACATGGATAGTGACTGGCGCGTGGACAGGTTTTAAGTTATAGTATACTTGTGTTGCATATGCCGCTCTCTTTCACCGTCTTCCGTCACCCATCCATATTCGGTGTTAACACAGATTCGAGAAGACCGGAGACGGGATGGGCGTAGGTGGAAATAATGAGATATGAATGGTTATAAATGTGGTCATTTGCGAAATCGCAGCGTTAAATACGTTCACTGCATTTGCACTACGACACATTCATCCGAGCCAAGTTAAATGTCAATAAACGATCTATTAAAATCAAGGGAGTATATTTGTAATCATATCTGTAATCTGTTAGATAAGGGTTCGGAAGTTTGCCTTGACAGGTGATTATTCAGGCACTGCTTAAAAACCCTCACAGTGGCGGAATGCACAACACACACGCTGACAAATAATTCCACTGTCGAATGACCAGTTGAGAGAAATAACCGATATATGCATTTTAATAGACGTAGGATTACTTACTTACTGTACAGAATCTGTTAAGAACTTTGACTATCTGTTCCAAAATTGTACCCCTTTCCCCTAACACGGGAAACTTTAACGTCTTAACGCCTTTAACGTCTTTCAGTTTTTTCTATTATTTTCTACTTTCATACGCTATACCATTTTTTCTTTCACCTGATATAACCCACTCATATAACCCCTATTTTTACCGGTCCCGTTAGAGAGAATTCCGGGACTAGGGCTATCTAACGGGGGCGACTAAACCTACTTTTACTTATCCTTCTTCTTTGAACGTCCCTTTACCCGCTCTAGGTGCCTCCCCTACTATGTTTGTATGCTATGTTCAAATTTAAGGAAAGTGCAAGTGGACATCGGAATTAAAAAGTAGAAATATTTGTCTTTGATCATACGTTTTCCTATTTTAAAAGACCGCCGATAATTGTCTAATTAAAACTGTAGAGAAGCGCGGCAACCCGTTATTTCACACTGTCTAGGAACTGACGCATTTGTTCTTAGACGAGGGAATTAGCTTGATCAAAAGTAAGCTTACAAGGACGCAGTGTAAATTCTACCTTATTTAGATATCTCTTTTCACTTGTGCCTAGAAAGTCGGTTCTCGTTACGCTCTACTCACAGTTATAAGTTGGTTTCTTTTGTAGCACTCTTTTATTACACTAAATATTATTTAAAATTTTCCAAATCATCTTTGATCTTTAGTTGGCGTGCCTCCATTCCCATTACAAGTCATCGCACTGAAAGGCCGCAGAGCGCAGTTGTCATGCGGCTGCCATGAGAGCGTGCACCACTCTCTCGTCAGATCTGATTGGCCCATGTCGCTGATACCTCCTCCTCAAGCAGATCAGTAAATATAGGTAGCCTCTCTGTGAGCGCGCTTTGTGAATTGTTAGCACAGCTCTCCGCGTGGTCGATTGCCTTCTCTTTCTCTCGCTGGGTGGCTTTGGAAATAACAGTCGAGCAAACTCACAGTTCGTATTAATTATAAGTAGGAGGCGTGGGGCATGAAAATAATAAAACAATTAGCTACTTTTGCCAAGCATAGAATCCTTCGAATGTGAATAGTTCTCATTTAACCAACAGCCCATTTAAACGCCCGAAGAGTGGCTTATTTTCGGTCTTGGGGTACGCCCATGTCCCTCCACAACCGGTGTGGGGGGAAATAATAAGAGCAGATAGGTGGTTTCATTTTAATTTTATGGACTAAGTTATCGAAAAGGGGAACGTGCATTAGGCCTTTGTTGTGTGAACATAAAATTGAAGATTAGTCTGCTCGAATAAATCCATTCAGGGGTCTAAGTGTGGGGGTGAACAATGAGCAGGACGATGCCACTGGGATTTATGCGCACCTCGAAGGGAGTGCTGTAGTCCACAGTTGCAACCATTTTCCCAGAAAATGCATCAGTTAGGTAGAAGGGTGGAGGCGCTTTAGTGATATCCAGGTCGAGCAGCGAAACGACTATGCGTACTGGACCGCCGGAGGAGTCGCTGGGATTAAGAAAGGCGATGGCGAAGCCACTGTTGCTGAGACCTCGAACCCAAACCTAAAATAGGGGATAGGGATTCATAGTGGGGCCACTTGAGTGAAGGTATTAATAATTTTAAAAATCATTACCTGCCAACTTTCAGTAGGTCGACATTTTACCAGTCTAAACGCTTCCTTGATTATGTTAGCCAATAGGGGTTGTACTAATAATTTTTTGGCCTAGAGGTTTACTTTTCAGTCCTTTTTGTCCTTTCCGCAACGTCCAGTTGTTTTTCAATCTTCAAATTTTCACCCGGAAAAAGATGCTTTAAACTTTTTGTCTACGTTTTTAGTTCAACAAAACAATTAAAGTGGCTCTAATTTATTTCCTACTGCACACTTATCACGCATTAAACACGCATTAACTACGCATTCATCAAGCACTAGGCCTTTAACCACTAGTTTGGGTGGCCTACGATGAACCCTACTCTAAAATGCATATAAACCGTAACTTCTGTAACATGAGGTATAAACAGTTGATGGAGATCGTTGAAGAACGTTCAACGATCATCGCCAACGAAAGCCCCTAATCCCCTGGTACTAATTCTCCAACCCGTAAGGAGCCGCTTATCGACTAATAGTGTATAACCTAGTGTAAGTCACTGGCAAATTCAAGGAAGACTAGAATAGTTATTTCTGGCTCATTAGCCGTCATCCGCTAGTCATATCCAATACCAGATAGTGCACCAGCCGAATGCTCAAATCACGACCTGCTGATCGGAAGTCCAATGCTCTAACCACTGAGTTCCCTCGGCAACGTAACTGAAATAACTTATGATTGCGCTGCGCGATAATTTGTTTAACAACCCTATCTAAGGCCGGTTTGCGAGTGATTATCAATTTTTCGCAAATTTCGGCATTTTGAATGAGATACCAACCGGGACTAATAATCACATCTTCGCTCGTGCTGACTTACCTTTATGCCACCAATGTTGCTACGAAAGGTGGCCTGCAACCCCAAAGGATCCTGGTTAATCTGCAGCAGGAGATCCGACTGCAGCAGCTCCTTCGACTCACTGCTAATCGCACCGAGGTCAGTGGACATAAGTAGTGGTGCCGCAAACATGGCCCACATGCCCATCTGAACTCGCTGCTGCTCCTTCGACAGGCCATAGTTGCCTAGTAACAGCATGTCCGGATCATTCCAGTGGCCGGGACCTGCATGCATCGCCAGCTCTACATAGTGTTTCTCATAGGCACCAATAATGCCTAGCACGGACGTCCAGGAGTCCTGCACATCATCCAGCATTCTCCACAGATTGCAGTCCTGCTTCAGCATCGTCCAATTAAAGGGAAAGGTGGGCTCCATCCAAGGTTCATAAGCAGGATAGCTGCATGAGAATACGATTGGTCGGCCGGTGGCATTGAGAAATCTACTGAAGGCGTGGTAGCCCAGGGCCTGCACGGCTGCATCGCTATAGCACCCATCCATTTTAATATAATCCACGTCCCAATCAGCCATAGTCTGAGCGTCGGTCTCCAGGAAGTCCATGCTGCCAGGATAGCCTTCACAGGTTTTAGTGCCAAAGTCCAAGTAGATGCCAAATTTCAGGCCCAAGGAGTGGACATAATCGGAAAGGTTTTTCATTCCCTTAAAAAGAGAAATCGGTTAGTCACGTTTCGGACGCACTTCCGCTTATTTCGCATAACTGTCTACTTATTTCGTATTAGTAGGCGCATTTGTTTCACTACGTTGGCTTCGGCTGTTTCCCAAGTATGACGCCCTGCATCCACATATAACAATGACACCCCACTACAGAAATCTGAGTAATTGATGCCAACTAATAGTCTTTGGTATTCTTCTTTAGCCGCAATCCATCCACATATAACAATGATCCCTACAGAAATCTTAGTAATTCATGCCAACTTGTGGCCCCAGACTGAGTTTAGTTTTTAATTAGTTTAGTTTTTGTTTATTTATGCTTCACTTTTTGGCAACAGGCGGCTGGTTTTTGGCTTAGGAGCTATTGTGAGTTGAAAAAGGGGATAAAAACCTATCTTTCGTGGTCTTACTTTAATCTCTAAAATTCGATTAAGAGTCGATATGCGATTAGTAATTCATGCGGACTTATGGCCCCTGGCAACTACAAGTCCCGTCCAGTGTCTGTTAGCCGGTGTGTATGCCTCTTACGATGCAGTTCACCCACATAAAGTAAGTGGACTAACTCATGAAATCCAATTATTTTTACAAGAAACTCCCTGTTGCGCAAACGCAGTCCAAGCTGCGGCCCCCCAAAACTTACAGCAACAAAGAAGTGATCATTCTTCAAAATAGGGCATATAACGTTTTATCAAGTAACACAACGTTGTTTAGAAATAGCGGCTTTTTTATAAAAGCAGAAAATGCCGATCAAGTGAAAATCGGGCGCAGTAGGCAAACTTGACTATAAAATGTAGAGGAGGCCCTTTCATGCAAACCCCGATTAAATAAAGCAGAACAAATAGAATTACATTGGAAAATAAGCCTTTTGTAAAAATTTCGGATACATAAGCTTCCATCTTATGTGCAATATAATGTATAGCTGTTACTGAACAGCCCAAAGTTCGAGTATGTATTCCAACACGCTTTCACGAAAATTCCTGCTTTTTTCCTCCGTTTATGCATTGCTTGAGTTACGTTTGATTAACGCAAACAAAGTTTTGCTTGATTTTCACAAGAGTAAGCTATTTCGTAAGCCCACATGCGGACATGCCAGTCAGTGACTAATAAATTAAAATGGAATTTTCAGGTGCAAACGTAAACGTACCATTTTTCGTACACTAAAGGACATTTCCTTAAGCTACATTTATTTTTAATTATTTGAGGATTTCGATTACGACGAAGTTCAGATCGTTCTTGAAATGGTGATGAATACATTACAATTTGCATTGGTTTCAGTCGATTGACCATAAATAAGGAGTATATTCGATGTGCTTACCAAAACCTTCAAAATAAGATATTTCTAAAAGGATTTACCTAAATAACGAGTTAAACATTCTTCTTCATGAATCTCTCTGTTTGGGTCATGGTTTTTAATTGCCCAAACACGTCAAATCATTGCTGAGAAAAATTAACGTCCAAAACAAAGATCGCGAATGAATGTGCCTAAGGTTATGTAAAAAGGTTTCAGTATAAAGTCACCACTTGAGAAAGCGCTTTAATTATATATTTCGCCGTCGAATGTGTACGTACTTTATTTTTTTTAAGATGAAGTCAAAATCAACATGGGACATTTTGGCCAGTTTTTTGAGTTCTTTAAAATTTACGGATACATCTTCTGTTGAAGATGAAAGAACTCACTTTTACGTAAACCGGAGCAGTTTTCAACGTATTTGATTTTTTTAAGATAACTAATAATCTTCTGCCAGTCCCGTTTCAAGTTTTTCTATCCTTTAATTCTGTTCTACAGATAGAAAATGTTAGGAACTCTTTTGCTTACGGCTCGACAGAGAAAATTGATAGCATGTTTCGGGTGTTTGCATATATGTATGCTTCGATAAGGTCGTCGTTTTCGGTGGGGTTAAACTAATTACAGCTTTATAAGTTTATAACTTGATCTTATGGCACAAAACTTAGCAGACTTGAAAATATAATTTCTTAAACATAACTCATTCTTCTTTTCCTGACAATAATGCGTTACCCCATAATTACATTTACCTCAATTTCGTGAACGGAAAACAAAGTTGTCTGTTCTCTGAACACATACCATTAAAAAGTTTCTGATTTTCGCTTATGTGCCTTTATAGTACAACACGCACAAGCAAGAGATTTTTCTGCAATGTTTAATAGTGTAGTAAATTCTTTGGATATCAGCAACCGTTGGATTGGGCCCCATTCCGCCCACATTTATCCCCAATATACTGATCGGAACAGAACTGTTTTCTAGTAAATAGCATTTTGCGCCTAAAGCCAACTCAACGAACAAAATCAACAACCTCATATGTGTGTAAAATCCCCTGCTCAAATTTCGATCTTCACATTTCATCATTTTACCATCTACTGTGTAACGATGAACCTCTACGGAAATATTATTATTTTATGTCGACTTATGGCCTGAAATTGAATTTAGTTTTTGTTTAATTGAGTTTTTGGTTCTGTTGTCTTAGTTAGTTTAGTTTCACCTTATTTTAGTTTCACTTTTTTGGCGACATGTGTTTGATTTTTGGCTTAGAAGCTACTATGAATTTAAAAAGGGGGTAAAAGCCTATACTTCATTACTTTACTTTAATAGTTAAAATTCAATATAGAATCGATGTAAGATTTTATCTAATTCGCGAGTACTCTTCGAGATGTATTCGGCATAGTGACGGCATTTTAACTATCGCGCGCCAAACATTAGGTTATTAAAATAATTATTTCTATTATTTTCTACTTTTATATACTCTCCTTTTTAATTATTCTTTTCTTTCCCGAGATATACCGCAACTCGTTAACCCCTATTACTGCCGCTCCCGTATTACATAAGAATGGGGTTTTCGTCTGCTCTATTGAACGCGAAATGCAACTACTACCGAGAAAACAATGTTAGAGAACAGGAGTGCGCCTTAAAATTCATAAAAGCCTAGGAATTGAAGTGAATTTTTGAACCGTCGATTCTTGTATCCAAGACAGCGAAGACGCGATCACTGGGAGCATTACGTGTATTGATCTGAGTTTTTTGCCTCGTGTGGTAGGGCATCATCAGAGACAGTGAGTGTGCAACCACAAATTAGCGGTTATTTTATTCTAGCAAAGAGAAAGGCGCTAGGAGTAGTGTTCATGACAGGTCTGAGTCCATGCCATCTCACGGCGTCGTAACGGAATGCGTCCCTGTCTGCGAACTGGGCCGCGCTTCTTGGCCACGCGAAGGAAGGGGTTATAGCAACGTGAATGTTGATGACATTGGAGTCAGACACACAGATCTCCAGCCATTCCCCTCTCGTCTTATTGCTGGCCTGTACCATTATCTACGTATCTACGGCCTTCCTCAAGGGTGTATGTAGTAACCTGAGCCAGGGTCCAGCCTCTCAGCATTAGTCGTATGTGCTCTATTATTCATGAGCTTAGTTGCCGTCTTCCGGTCTGCCCTGTA